CATTAAAAGAAAAAAAAAAAAACAAGTTTTAAATGATCCTAGACTAGATTGGTACCTATAAAATATTCACTAAAATAGTCACATAAGAACATGATGATAATACGAGAAATGATTTACTAAGAAGGCCAAATTTCACAAACATTTTTCTGGTACATGCTGGATGCTCACTGCAGACCCACCTCTCTCTTTAGTAAGGGAAGGGCATCATCCATCTTCACCCTGAGGCCTGGTCAAGGTTATTTTAGCAGCAGCCCAACATCTGGTCTATAGCAACTAAGTTAACACCAGCGACAAAGGAATTCTAGGGAGGTGGTGAGATTTGATTACATGTATTAATGAAAGCTGAGCAGCTGCAATTGAATCAGATGCACAGATTTGAATTAATGGAAAACATACAACTATTCTTTGTCATTAAAGGGCTGCTTTGGAGAGCATCGGAGACACATTTAAGAATTCTGAGAGGGACAATTTCATACTCAACATACATACTCATTTTTTGCTGCTCTTCCTCTTTTTCTTCACCATTTATTATTACTATTACTATTACTATTATTATTATTAATCATCATCATCATCCTGTTCTCTTAACTAGAAGAGTATTTGCCAACACAAAAGTCAATGAACTCACAAGAGACAAAAGACATTCTTGGTTTGATTGCTCCTAATAAGCTTCAGTGCTTCCAGACCACATAATGTCATAGAATTGTTGTAATGCTTCTTTAAAAGGGTGACAGGGTTCAGAAATAAACTGCACATGGTAAGAAGAGCCTCCCATGGGTTATGCCTGTAAAGTGAATGGCAAGGCTTGGGGAGTGGTGGTTGTTTCCGGCCATTAGCATTGCTAACCAAGGCCAGCTTAGCATTTATGGGAATCTACTCAAAAAGGATGACACATGCTTCGTTCATTCAAGCAAATCTGCCTGATTTCTTCAAGGTTATGCTGAAACAAAACTTTACTCCAATTATCTTTGATTGGAATGTTTCATTATTTTTATGTATCCTTGAGGTAGTGAGGGTCCATGCAGTAGACACATTAGGTCCACGGGTCACAAAATCATATTGAAGTGCTTCACGCCCGCATAAAGCAATTACTGTCAACTCTCAATTAACCTTGTTATTGGAGGAAGCATTAGCGTAGAAAATACGAATCCTAGATAACCTACCCGTGTCTTTCTTGCTGCCATAGTTGCAGCTGAGGTGAGAGAGAGAGAGAGAAAGAGACATAATGGGAGCACCAGGAAAAGCTCGGGGTTAAGAGGTCTCTTCGGGAAAATATGAGCAGAGATGATAAATTCGGCTGCCACTCTGCCCTCTATTTATGCCCATTGCCTTTATGCCCTGCACCAGGAGGCAAAAATAACATTGCTTTTCCCCACCAACTTCTGGCTGACAAACAAAAGGAAGCCAGGAGAAAGCAGCAGAGGAGGCAGTCTGAGCAGCTGGCAGTCACCTGGCAGGCAGAGTCGGGAGGCGAGTTTCAAGTGGGGGCTCTGCACCTTCCTCCTGAAGAAGCTGGAGCCACCCCAAAGGCTCCCCGGGCACACGGAGGTGCTCAAGTGCTTTGCCCTTTAGGATTCCGACTGTGTCAACCAACACGGTAAAAGGGGTTAATTACCAACATTATAATTAGTCATTTGTTAATATGATAAACCTTCTGACTCTACAGGGTTCTTCAGGTATACCCACATGCCCATCAGGTCCTGGGCATCAGTGCTATTCCCAACTTTCTCCTGGAATAAACCTTTAGGCTGGGCACCGCAATCCAGGCCAGGAGCCACAGGAAGAGTAGAAATGCCTCTTCGGCTGATTCCTAGTCACACTGCTCCAGGAAGGGTTTGTGTTTTAATAAGGAAGAAAATCTTAAGTGATAAAGACAAGACAGTGGAATTCCAGACCCCACAGAGCAGTTGGGGTTTGTGGGGGAAGATGCAGGAGGGGCAGGGGAAAGCTCTGAGGTCACAGCAAAGACAAAGGCACAATGGAGAGGAAAACTGGGAAATAGGTTGAGAAGAGAAAGGTGAAAAATTATAAAATTATATGTTTTAATGAAAAAAATATTGGGAGTTTGTTAAAAAAGAGACAACAGGTCCAAAATGGAGTCACTTATGCTAGGCTCCTAATCAGCAAACCAAGATTTAATGCTTAAGCTAACTGCGGTTTCAGCTTCTCAGGAGTGTTACTTGTAACTGGTCAACACGGAATCACCTGGTCAGCACTAGCAAGACAGTCCAGATTACAGGTCCCTTCTGTCCCATTTGGAGGGCAACCTTGCCTGAAACAACACATTCCTTCCTAAAACATTCCTTTTGCTCTTCTCCTTTTCCACCTTTAAAAAGACATTTCCTTTTCTATAGCTCGGGAGAGGCCCTTTCTGTTTGCTACATGGGATGTTGCCCAATTCATGAATCACCAAATAAAACCACTTCAATTCCTAAAATCACTCTGCTAAATTTTTGTTATTTAACAGGTTAAAATGCCTATAAAGAGCCAAATTTATATCCTCTGTAAATGTGACTTTGCAATAAAATTAAGAAGCCATTTGTCAGTTTTTGCCTCACAATGAATTTTTGTGTATTAGAGTGAGAAATCAGGTAGAAATTGGATAAATAGGTACAAAAAGTGAAATGAATGAGTAAGAGAGGAATCGTGGAAAACATAAGGTCATTTTTGGAGAATACTGGCCAGGATTCTTCCTAATATTAAGGCGTGGGGGAGGGAGAGAGTTGGAGAGGTGAGGAGGAGGAGGAGGAGGAAGAGGGAGGGGGAGGGAGGAAAGGAGGGAGGCGTAGGGGGAAGGGAGGAGAGAAAGAATTGTAACAAAACTATTGACTACAGTGACTATAAAATGGAAAGTGACTGAGAATAACAGGAAAGATTATGCAAATGTAAATATTGACTATAAAATATCAGTGAGCAAGAAAAATTACGATTTAAAGAAATCAGTGAAGTTGCACCTTTCTGATTCATTATTTAGTCTATAAATTTTTCTATGAAGCTCATCGGCTAGGAAATGTACATACATATGCAATGAAAATATGATGTTATAATTTCTGGTTTAAAAAGAAGGAAGAGAATTAGAGGTATCATTGCTTCTCTTCCCTCCTTCAAAGCACAGAGGAAACAACAAAAATAGGGAAACACTGAAGAAAATATCAGATGTCATCAAACAAGAAAGCAAACAAAAAGTCTCCCATTCTTTCTACAAACCATGAAGCATATATGGACTAAATTCAGGAAGAACACTGAAAACTGACAAGTATCTCAAGTTTCAAGCAGGTCCAAAAAGTTTCTGTCCAAAGTAATGTCAAAATGTCTAAAGGGCATAAGCAATGAGCTTTCAATGAGAGTGACAAGACTCACAATTTAGGTCCTAGAGACACAGTCTGACATCACATAACAGAAGGAAAGGCAGAAGCTAACAGAAAACATGTTAATATTGCATTCCTATTTAGTTTTGTATTATATTACTATTGTATTCCTTCTAGGCAAGGAAGAGCTCCATAGGCAAGGCCCTGTTTATAAGAATTCTAAGGGAGTAAGGAATAAAAAGAAACAAAAAAGGTATGGACTTGGTTTTTCTAGATAAAACTTTCATGCAGAAAGTTTATGTCTTTTTACCTTATGCTGATGGAAATTTTCTCTTAGATGACTCTTGATAGAAGCATTTGAATTTTATAAGACGAGTCCAAAGAAGGAAATAGTAAATAATACATACGGCATTTAACTCTGCTATCTTAAGCAACAGAATTCGAGAGATTGCTAGATGGCTTCAGTCTGAGCACCCACTTATGTTAGGAGAGAATGAGAAGAGGAATGTGACCCGGTGATAACATACCCCTTGTGGTGTAGTCAAGAGCAAAGCGCTATTTCACCTAAGAAAATACAACTCAATACATCAAAACTGAAATTCGGTGATAGTCTGGGCACTTACTAATTGGAACAAGCATGTAAAGGCTCCTGCCAGCTACCGATCTGGCAAATATGAATAAGAGCCAATGGAAAGAGCTGAAAAATCGCCTCCTGACTCTCCCTACAATGGACCTTAGACTTGGTGCGTGTGTTATCTCAGGTCGCCTGGTCTCCAGAAATCAGCTGGCAAGTGAAAGAACTCAATTTAAATTAGGTAACACTTACTTGCATTCGCAATTGAGTTTTTGAGGTTTATGAGTTCTCTCATTCTTCTCCTGAGTTTACAAAGGTTAAAAATCTATAGCATCTCATGGGGCCCTGGCCCTCTAAGGAAACATAGTTTATATATAGCCTGTAGATGATTAACAGGCTTGTGAAGGAAGTTAAACTATGGAGAGAATCTAACTGAAAACAATGAAAATCAATGAAGCCAGAACAGACCCTAACACTAAGCAACATTTACCTAAGTGATACTGGCTAATGGCGCAGTGGGTAAGTGAAGAAGTATGAGTTAATGCTGATTTTTATCTCTCTTGAGTTCAAAAATACTAGAATGGTCATAGATCCCAGGACCATACATTTCAAGTTTGGGCTTCTTAAGAAACCGTTACGGGTTCAATTGTGTCCCCCCGCCCCCGCCAAATTCATATGTCGAAGTCTCAACCTCTAGTACCTCGGACTTTATTTGGAAGTAGGACTTTTAAAGAGGCAATTAAGGTTAAATGAGGTCGTGGCGGGGGGGGGGCCCTAATCTAATATGTGTCCTTATAAGAAGTGGAGATTAGGACACTGATATACACAGAGCAAAGAGCATGTGAAAACACATAGAGAAAGAGGCCATTTACAAACCAAGGAGAGAGGCCTCGGAATAACTCAACCCTGCCAACTCTTTGATCTCAGACTTCCAGCCTCCAGAACTGTGAGAAAATAAATTTCTGTTGTTTAAGCCACCTAGTCTGTGGTACTTTGCGATGGCAGTCAGAACAAACTAATATCGAAACTCCTATAATGAGCCTTTTTATTTTCTCTTAGAAGTCTGAAATAAGACCTAAGTTTCTTTTGCGGTTACGTGCATTCTGCATCATACTTACAAACCCAACGGGAAAGGCCAACACGGCTAACATCCAGTCCCGGAGAGAGATAAGCTTCTTGAGCTGCCTCTCTTGCTCTTGGTTGCCACTTCCTCTGGTCAGAAGACTGGAAAGATCGGTCAGCACGCAGATGCCAAAAAAGACAGCCTGGATAACCTGGAGGGAGGCAACAGCTGGTATTAGTCAATAAGATCTAAAGAGACACAGGCTGTGCAACAGCAAACAAGCTACATGTCTGCAATACACACTTAAGAGAGGATCAAAAACATTTAAAGACTTGGCCCTACACATAAAAAAAAGAGAAAGATAGGTGAGAAAATTCATCTTAAAAACATTACTTCCATTTTCACTCACCTATGGACAGATGCAAAGCATGCATGCACACACTCGAAAATAATATTAATTATCAAAATGACATGTCCATTATTTTAAAATATCACATCTGTGGTCTAGTTATACTAACTAGTGGGGTTTAACATCTAAGAAGTGCAAAGAAAATACTCAAGATAGTCCAAACAATAGAATGAGACTAGTCTAAATGTAAAGAAACCTTCCTATACCTCAATCTGTTAGATTGAGAAATTTTTACCAAAGGAAGTGGTAGAAAGCTTCCAGTCCTTGAGTCATAGAGAAATCAACTGAATACAATGCTCAAGACTGACATGGGGCAAATTTCTGCTGTTAAACTTGAACTAAAAGATCTCTTTCTCAGGTTTTCAAATGTGAGCTTAGATATACCATTTTCCTAAAAAGTGACCAATTGTGCATTTTCAAATCAATTACAAATTAAATTACTTACACTGGCTATGTTTTACTTGGACTATAACAGAGAGAGAACACTAAAATGCTGCAGCCTCATTATTTGTGAAATTCTTAAAGTGTGGGTAAAAGTATTGATGATCCAGAGTTATGAGTGGAGGCAGGCAGCATACTGTAATACAACCTGATAAATAATAATTAAAATTATGGCAGGGCAGAAAATATATTCCACAGGCTCAAAATCATGCCCATTTAGCACCGAGAAAAGATTCAAGGGAATTATTCTGTTTTTTTTTCCCTACCAAAAATAACTTACTGATGATGTATTAATTTGTAAAAGATATAATTTTACTCATTACCTGTTTAGAAAACAAATTTTTTTGGTAAATTTCCATGTTGGTAGTGGAAAGAATCTGTTACAGCTCTATGAATGGGTTCTTCACTGAGGCACAGAACAAAAGGAAGACAGACCCTCAAAAGTACCTGGTTTTATCCCTTGGCATCACACTGGCACACTGGGATTGTTAATCATTCTGTTCTTATCTAAGGCACTTTGAAAATACCCCGTAATGGAGACTCCTTCAACAGGCTTAGTCAAATAAACAAAAATCTGCAGTATTTTTACATATAATAAGCTGGGCTCTTTGGAGCTCACCAAATCCTGCTACTACTAGCCAGTCTTAGCTAGAATAATATTATATTCTTCCTCTTAACTTAGCCTATCTTTTAGCTTCAGTGACTTAAGTTTTACTGTTGTTCTTTCTGGGACCAGAAAAACCAGAGTAGGAGAAGCTAAGACTGCCACAGCTGAACATGGAACAATTGAATTGCTGGCAAGAATCATGTTGTGATTACCATAAATAATTTAAATGACTCAGGGAATAATTTCATACTTGCGAACATTTTTCATAGCATATCTTATGACTTTAGATGTTAGATCTTTATGTTAACCTTAATGGAGTTTAAGAAACTGGAGTGGCCAAACTGGGGAATAATATCTATGCTAATCTGGCCCATGAACATATTAAAAGGTCCTACCTGATTGATACCAGAGAAATGCAGATTTATATCACAATGAGATTGCATGTCTTACCCATATAATTATTCACAATTTAATTCTGACAATACCACAGGTTACAAGGATGTAGAACGATCAGAAACCTTATGGTGGGAATTCAAATTAGGATAATCGCTTTGAAGAACGATTGGCAATACTCAGTAATTTGAAGATGCATGTGCTCTACTATCTATTGACTTGAACGGTATCCTCTACTGAAACACTCATCTATGTATACTAGTCACATTCATATGAAAGTTAAATTTGGTAGTCATCGTTTCAAAAAAGATGAAACAATCTAAACGTCCCTTGAGTTGACTGAATAAATAAATTGCGCTATATTCATACAATGGAATTAAAAGCACACACCTTTTCATTCTCACAGTAAAATACTAAACAAAAAAAGGAAACCAGATAAAAAAGCTACATTTTAAAGTTAAATTAAATTTCAAAAATTGTAAAGGTATTTTAAGGATGCATGTATATGAAGTAAAATGTGAAGAAATGCATGGGAATTAATAACACAGAATTCGGGTATATCTACAAGGAGGATAAGCTTAGGGGAAGGACACAAGGACCTCAACTGTATCTTATTTCCTAAGTTGATTATGGGATATATAAAAGTTTATTATAGTGTTCTCTATAGAGTTGATTATTATGAAATATTTCCACAAAACTTAAAAATAAAAGGTAAAAAAAGAGTGGTTTTTATACTTTTGGAATGTAGTTGGCCAGTGTCTTTTAATTTCTTTCCTTCCAACTCAGTTTTCCATACTTTTAAAGATTAGATAATAATAGCAGGATTTAGTGAGCTGCAAATTAAGTATATTAAGTGAATTTTAAAATTCCATGAGCAAGTAACTAGTATCAGATTTGCCCTCCCCCCATAAACACCTAGACATTGGACTAAAAACATAAATCAATCTTTTCATATGGCGGACTTTTTCCTCTGCAATCGCCAGAGAAATCTCTTTTTTTAAAAGGCTCATTTGATGAGATCAGGCTCACCTTTTGCCAAATAAAATAACATAATCACATGAGTCATTATATTCATAGGATCTTCCAAAACCCAGTGGGAGGGGATTATACAGGGGTGAGCATCACTGAGGGTCATTTTAGAATTCTACTTGCCACAAGTTGTAAGTTAAACAATTCTCAGAGCTCACTCAAGATAGAGAGATATTCAAGTTCTGACCAATCAGAGAGGTCTTTTTGACTACAACGGGCATTCGTTTGAGACCTAAGAAGTTTCACACCTAAACACTGGTGCTAAAATAGCCTTGGAATACAGGCTACTCCAGATCCACCCCAACAATACTTAAAAACAAGCCTCAAAAAGATCAAGCTGCTCTATAAGTAACTTAAATGCCAAGAAATATAAAATTCTACATTCTTTAAAGGAAGATAATACAATCTAGACATTCAACAATATCCAACACTACAATGCCCAAATATAATAAAAAATTACTAGATATGCCAAGAATTAGGAAATCTTTAACCAGGAGAAAATCCATTCAATAAAAACAGATATGTGACAGAAACATTGTAATTAGCAGACAAGAACATTAAACAACTAAACTAAATAAGTTTGAGAAATTAAATGAAAATAATAAGAACAAAAGACATTTAAAGCAACTCGAATTGAACATTTAAAAATTAAAAGGACACTACCTGAAATTAAAAAGTCACTGGGTAGGAATAATAGCATATTAGACACTGCAGAAGAAAAATTACAAAACTAAATACACAGCAATAGAAACTATCCAAAATGAATGAGAGAAAGACAAAAAAAAATTTTAATTACTAGAACCTCAGTGAACTGTGAAAAAATATCAAGCAGTTTGATATCTGTGTACTGGAGCCCTAAAGAAGAAAGGGGTCATGTAGAAAAAGTATTTGAAGAAGTAATTGCAGTTTTTCCAAATTTCAGGAAAATTTGAAACCCACATATCCAAGAAGCTAAACAATGGAGTACATAAAATGGAGTACAGAAAAACACATCAAGGAACAATTCAATCAAATGCTGAATATATGTGATAAAGAAGAAGTCTTAAAATATGCTGGAGAAAAGAGACATAGCATATCCAAAAAAATAAAGATAAGAAATATCACAGACTTCTCACGTAAATCAGCGCAAACCAGAAAACAATGATATCTTTAAAGACCTCTAAGGAGGAAAGACTGTCAAAGGTGAAAGACTTTTTCATACAAACAGAAGCTGAGAGAATTCACTGTCAATAGACTTTCACTACAAAAAATATTAGGGAATAGAGAACATGATATTAGATACAACTTCAAATTTGTACAAAGCCATGACAATTGCTAAAAATAGTAGCTATGGGGATAAACATAAAAGATTTAACTTCTAATTTATTAAATTTTAAGATAATTGACTATTTAAAGCAAAAAAATAACGATATATTGTGAGGTTTTAAACACAATTAGAAATAAAATTATGACAACAATAGCACAAAGAACAAGATGAGAGGAATGAAATGTATACTGTTGTTAAGTTCTTAATTACATATAAAGTGATATAACGTTATCTGGAAGCCGACAGTGATAAGGTAAAGACACATATTGTAAACTCTAGAACAACCACTGAAATAATAAAATGGAGATCATTAGCTAATGTATTAATGTTCTGTGCTAACTACCACAAATTTAGCAGCTTAAAACACTAATATATTAGTTCACAGTTCTGCAGGCCAGAAGCCCACATGGGATAGTCTGACTTCTATTCTCAGAGAACTACACCACAAAAATCAAGGTGTTCACCAAGCAGGAGTCTTATTCTGAGGCTTAAGCGAAGGATTTACTTCTAAGCCCCTTCTGGTTGTTGGTGGAATCCACCTTCTGTTGGCTGTAAAACTCAGGTTCAAGTTTCCTTGTTGGCTCTTTGCCAATGCCACTCTCAGCTCCTTGCATCTGCTCTCCAGTCCTCATACCTGTCACCCTACATCTTCGAATCTAACAACAGAATATCAAATCCTTTTCATGCTTCAGATCTCTTTACCATTCCCTCCTGTTTTCCTCTTCTGCCATCGGCCTATAAAAGCTTTCTGCCTTTAAGGCCTCGTGTGATAAGATCAGATGCACATGGATAATGTCCCTTTCTCAAGGTCAACTGTGCCATATATCATAATACAATTAGATGAATTACAACTCATTAACGCACAGGTTCCCAGGATTAGAGAAGGGCATCTTTGGGGGTCGATTTAGAAATTCTATCACAGCTAATAAGCCAATAGTGAAAATAAAATGTAATACTAACAAGATCAGGTCATCCCAAAGAAGTCAGAAATTGAGAAAAAGAAACAAAGAATAGATGAGACAAAAA